TGGGGGGGTTGGAAGTATAGGGATAATATGCCGATAATAGTGCGGGTCAAGACCCCACCCAGTGAGGGGTACTACAAGGGACTGCTGTAGGTATACTAATAAGGCTTTCTTACCTCCATGTTTGAGGGTTACTGCTGTAGGAGGGATTGACCTAAGACCCAATATAATACTGAACACCGCGCGAGGCAAATATCTATTGCAAGGTGCGGGCTAGTGACCTTAAACCCTAAACTCTAGAAACCCTTTAAAAACCCTAAACCCTAAACCCCTTGAAACCCTTCAAAACCCAAGGATTAGTAGGCACTACCTTGTCAACCCCAAGCTATGCAAACCAAGACAACAATTGCAAACAAGGCGCGACAGTAGCTTTTTCGCTGGATTCTCCTTCATAGCTAACCGTTGTGGGGCTTAGGGTTGGGTACCCTCAACCCTAAACCTGCTGGGTTGCTGTTAAGGAACTCAAATTAAGTTACTATATTGGGGAAACCCTATTATTCACCATATATATATATACCCATTATGGTCACTTAATTTAAGTTCCTGAACAGCAACCCTAAACCTGTTGTGGGCCTAGGGTTGGGTATTCAAGGGCTGAGATTTGAAGGTTGGGGATGTTGGATGAAGGGTGGTTTGTAGCGCTACGCAAAAAAAGAACACGAGAATGTTCCCCGCGCCTGAACCCGATTTATGGTTTCTGGAAGCTTGGGCTAAATAACGAAGGGGCTACTTGAACTTTCATGGGGTCGTGCACGTTGAGTTTCAGTAGCACTGAGCAAGTTGCAACTGCTTCGGATGTTGTCAGAAGCCTGAGTGAGGTAACAGCTAGAGTTCTCCTACTTCCACGCCCTGTCATGCCTACCCGTTTGTTCTTATAGTCAACAGAAACTATACCTCTCCCACTTGCGCCAATGTCTGGCTTCCTTACGTAGGGGTTGGGTACTGACTACCTCAATTGCCTGGTAGGCAACTCGGTTTAGCACTTATAGCATTTAAGATCTCAGACACGTTCGCTGCTTGAGGATGACCTAGTGGCTGCTACCTCTTACCTTCATTGCTAGCGGCCAAAAGCGGTGTTGCGTTGCGTTCTTGGAGTAACACTGTTGCTAGCACTGGTGCGCAGGAGCAGAGTGAGAGATGCTTGTGAAGCGGGTAGAATCACCAGGAAACAGAACAGAGTACTGAAGCGCACAGGGGACTGAAATGGGTTTGGCAAAGCCGAAAAAGCCTGCATCCAACCCGAATCGTGGTAAATAACCAAGCCATGCCAATCAATTTGGCAGGCATGTCTCGTGTCTTTTAGCCCTCTACTTTACTGTGTACAGAGAATATGAAGACTTCCTTGGAGTTCCTTACCAGCAGCCCAGAAAACCTTGGGCCTGCGAATGCAGATTTATCTCAAGTGGGGGCGGCGGGGCTCCTCAGAACATACCTTTGCCCCAAACATACATGGGTAGTTAGGATCCATCTATACAAGCTCCAAATTTTTACGTCCTTATTCTAGGACATCCCCTATAAGGAGGGCCATAAATCAAAGAACTCCTGCACGAAGCCCTGTTGCTCGCTTAGCCTTGCCCGACACCGTATCCATGATCTCCCGAATCGGGTTTCGGATATTCTTTGCGCGCTCACCCACGCGGATGCGCCACCTTGTACTTGGTTGGACTTTAGGGACTCTTGAACAAATTTAGTATAGATGGGTCCCTATACAACCAATAAGGGAAAATATCTTAGGAACCCCTGTACTTCTAGGCTTGATTCAGGGTGGTTGGTCTCCACTGCATGCCCTGTACATATGAGCTACTGTCTAAACTCTTTAAAGGGGTATACGGGGGATAATATAGGGTCCTTATTGAAAAGCCTATTAAGGGGGACACTAGGACTTTAGACTATAGCTCATATGTGTACTGGGCAGAAAGGGGAATATCGAGGTCCCTCGCACAGATTCTATTGGGGTTGTTTTGACATGCTGTCATATCTTGCAGCTACAGCTCAGCCAATATCTCGCCCAAACCACATCGTGCAAGAGTAATGAGTTAGCTGAATGCTCCAAAGTATACCTCAATGGTTATACTCTTCTTACAGCAATTTTCCAGATACTTGCGTGCTCGGGGTAAATACACCCTACTCCTACCTGAACTTGCAACATAAGAACAAGCTCTGCAATTCCCCTCACTGTAATAGTCCCCCTTAAGTAGATACAACATGGCTTTGGGCATATTAGAACAAGATCCCCAGATACCCCATATTCTATCTACTTAAGGGGGACTATAGAGGTTTGAAACGAACAGTGGAAACCCAGTTATATCTGAAAAACCCTCAACTCTATACATCCCTCCGAGCCCCTTTAAGGGACCTATATGGGTAGTTCCCAAAATTAGGGATACCTTTTTGGGGGGTCCCTATAATAAGGACTATAGTATTTTGGGGTCTATATTGGGGTCCCCTTATTTTGGGAAACTACTATATGAGGGCTATAGTTACCCAGGAACCAGTAAGTATGACCCTTAAACTGCTGCAACGTGTTGAGTGCCATACGCAACTTGGAAGGCCCATTAAGGGTTAGGGCTTAAGGTTGTAAAGTGCTGCCGCGGGTTTCTGTTCCCCTGGTTCAGCATTTCGGCACGCGCATCGCGCTGCAGGCGCGGCAAACGTTCAAGGGGTCCGGTCTTGCCCATCCTGCTGGGGATATAGTCTCCTTGAGTAGATAGAATATAGGGTATATCAGGATCTTATTCTAATGTACCCGAGCCCATATTCTTTTTGCTACAATGTGCTCGCTGCCAGATGCGAACTCGCTCAGCGGTCGCTGAATTTCCTGCGATTGGTGAGTGGACGCAGAGGATTTCACCGATGAACCAGCTTGCCTCTTGGAGCTGGTGCTCTGAAAAACTCCCCGAATTGCCGGCGACTTGGCGGCAACTTCGGCATTCAGCCCCTCTTCGTCGCTTCTCCCCTAGTTGCTCCCAAAAGTCGGGGTCCAGTACCTCAGGGGCAGCGGCACGTTGAACACGCTTGATCCTTTCTTCCTTGCTCAAGGAGCTCTTGGAATTGGTATCCTCAACAAATTTCCGCATGGTCAGGTCGTGGAGAGAGCCAAACCAGGGTTTAGGTTGTAGGGCTTTAGGATATTAACAACAACAAAATAACTATAGTATAAAAAGCAGTTAGATGGTAAAAAAGATTTACAAGTAGCACCATGAAGCATCCCCACCCCCTCTACTTGACTAGTCCTTATGATGGTTGTATATGATACTATCCGAACGCACAGAAGGCGGTGTGCTTTGTGAAACAGTCAGGGGCTTAGGGTGGCAACCCGGAAGCTCCACAGCTAAAGCTTCGTAGGACTCGCTCAGGAACTCTCAAAATAAGGGTCAATGACCGCAGTTTTAAATGCCAGGTGGTGTGCTGCAGTGTAGTGTATCGTAGACCCCAAAGACTTCCAACCCTAAACCCTACACAAAGTCGTTACTTCATCTCCTGAGGCTGAAGATCTTCTGAGTCGAAAGTATACATCACCATCTTCAACCGGACTCACACCTCAAGAGCCTTAACCCAATAGCCTTTTAACTAAGCAGCAAGGCCAAAAGCCCTACAGCGCAACCGCACGTAGGCCTGCACAAGCCCCCCTAAACCCCAAAAGAGTAGTTTCCGTTTTCTTTTCCAGTAATTATCCCAATATAACCCATTATCCTTATATGATCCCTATATATATATATATCCCCTATATAGGGAGGATTATAAGCCCTGACATGCCACTGCAGCCTCTTCCCGCTCGGGGCCGCTGTCTCCGTCTTGCGGGGCCTCTTCCTGTGGGGTCTAGAGAGGCATGTTACCTAGCACTAGGGGTTTATACAAAGGTAGATTACAGGGTTTAGGATTAGAGACTCTGTCATAATTTGGGATGTTCTTACCTAATCAGAAATTAGTGTATGCTGGTTATCTCGATCAGCACCCCACCCACTAAACCCAGAAACACTAAGCATCCCTATATAACTGATGTATATCCGCTATAGAACCCCTAAATTATCACTACTGCCGTTCCCCTATGTAGAAATGATCCATGTGTACCCTCCATATAACTTGTCTCCGGGCATACAGAGTTTCGAGCTTAGGGCTTACAAAAAACAACCCCGCCTTACCAAGGATAGCGGTCGCCTGGAGCGGGATTCCATGCTGCTGATATGGTTTAGGGCTTAGGGTTTAGGGTACACCAGGAATAGAGGTATGACTCCAACAAATGGAGAATGAAATGGCACATGAAAGGAAACTGGCGGCACAAGGGGCTTTACAGGGCGTGCTGCTGTTGATGCTGACAAACTGCATGACATGACAGTACTACAATATCGCAGCTTTCAAGAACTAAGAGGAGACGTCCATCAGTTCAATAGTCTTTCTTGATATGCTTCGCTACTCAGTGAGCTGGTTGGGGGGGTGTCCGTCCAAGTAGTTCCCATTGCTTCTCGTGAATTGTTTATTGGCTTCTCTGCGGTTCTGGGTACTGGCAAGCAACATGTCAGTAAGCATGTGGGCATCAAATTGGCAGGAATACATCGGGGCATATAATGAATACATAGGGGTATCTTTTTTCGGATAGTGACCATTTGGAATGATATAGGGGTATAGTTATCAGCCGAAGCAAAGGTTATTGGTGGATTTCTGGGGGTCGACATCTGTACATCATACCTGCTGTGGGCCCCACGGTCTATAAATGATGCTTGTTTCAGGCCCTAATGTCTTTGAATGATAAGAATAATACCTACCTTGCTATCTTTGGACACCCATGGGATGATGGTTCTCACATGCAAGAAACTTATTACATGATGGATTCCTACAATTAGGATTCTCCTTTTAGCCCAAAATGTATTATGAACGCGCTATACCCCCCCCTATGGGGGAAGCTGAAAAAGGAACCACTATTTTGTCGAAACCCTACAACCCTAAACCACAAATCCTTCTTTGCCCCAAACTGCACTGGAGCAGCATTATAACCTACTTCGTAGAAGCCTAGGCCCTGAACCCCTGAACCCCTAATCCGAAACCCTAAACCCTAAACCTTCAGTACTGCCCCCCCTCACTAACAGTTGCATAAGAATTGTAATATGGTTATATTTAGCCCTCAATAGGACCCCAAATATAGACTGTTACTGAGCGGGGGCAGTACTGAACCTAAACCCATTCCAAGCCAAGCCTCAGAGCATTGATTGGAAGTGGCTCCAGAACGGTTGTCATGCCTTAGCTCAATTTCGGTTATTTGGGGTTCAGGGAATTTGGGGGTTCAGGGGATGTGGAGGTTTAGGGGTTTAGGGGGTTGTGAGTTTAGGGGATTTGGGGGTATAGGGGATTTGGGATTTAGGGGTTTAGAGATTTAGGGGATTTAGGGGTTTAGGATTCAGGGGTTTAGGGTTCAGGCTTTACCTTTAGGAAGGTATGGGTGTTAGGGTAAGGGTTAACTAGAGCTGAGGTTTTAGGGTTCAAGGGCTCAGGGTCGCACAGCAGGTTAGATATCAAGGTCCATGAACCTTACTCTTGGGTTGACTCTAAACCCAAAACCCTAAGCCCTAGACCTTA